TCTTCTGTCACCAATGCCACCTGGTATTCCCTCTCCAGAACTGCCTCCTCCTCCCTGGCCTTCCTCTCCTCTTCTTCCCATCATTGCTGCTGCTCCTCACACTCCACAAGTATCTGCACAGTTGTGAGCAGAGCCTGGTATGTGGACCCTATAGGAGCCCCAGCATTGGTGGTAGTTTTCTGCAGCATGGATATCCCATTTCCTAGATGTTGATGGGGGTATGAAAGAAGAAATTTTATTATTTTCAACATTATATAGACTCCTTGCATTTGAACCTTACCTTCCAGATCATCTGATGTGTTGACACATATGTACCTGTAACTGACAAACTCAAACATGTCCTAGGGCCTCTATGGGATTTCTGCCTTAAAGGGAGGGTACTATTAGGACCAGGAAACCTGCCAGGACCTGGAATGCACCCTATAAATATCCAACTCTCTATATCACATGATCTCACCACCAGACTCCTCCCAGATAACCCAGACTCCATTCTATATGTACTGACTCTCTGTATTGTACAAACTATGCACTGGACCCCACCCAGATATTCTGGACCACTTGTTCTCAATCCATCTTTGCCCATTTGTCATCTGGTTCAGTTTACCACTGTGTTTCCCTATCTGTTTGACATCTGTTTCATTGTCTTATTGTACTCTTGATATATATTTTTGTATGTCTAAGTTAGTAGTACAATAATCTACTAGTCTATATAGTCCAGTAATTATTTGTACATACAATCCAATCAGAAAATCAACTTAGTTTCTACTTGTCATTTGCTCCCTGTGTATTCTCAGAACCCACAGGTTTCCCATCTGCTCCTGTTTGAAATTGGACAACATGATCTGTGAAGGCATAGCACATAAGCTGAAGCCATGTCCTTCCTGGAACTTGTGCAGGTTTCCCCAGAGACCCAACCATGAGCCCCACACTTAACAGTATTAAACCTCACAGCTTAGGGTATACATATTCATACACAATATATAGTATTAATCCCACCAGCTCATATGAAAATTGAGGAAGAATTGAATGAAGGGGAGCCATTGTATTTCACTGAATATTAAATAGCATCTCATAAGGCCAACTATATACATAAATATATAGACCTATACTATATAGTACACACCCCAAATCCTTTCCTCTTAATTGGGCCCCTTTCCTGAGATACAGCACAATTTGTCTGTGGGTCGAAAGCAGAATTTCTTTTTAAACATTGAACTCCACCTTAGGTACTTGGAACAGCTGTAATCATATTTTGTTAATTCTGTGGTAGGCATTATGCAATACTGGAACACTTTTTGTAATTCTAACCATCTTACCACATACCCACATGCATGATACTATTGTGGATTACCTAAATTTTCCCTCTCCACCTCGGATCAAAAAACTATAACTCTCACCCTTTTCTCTCTCTCTACAAGGCTATGACCTGTGGGGGGTAAGCCCCCATTATGCTACCACCCCACAACTTTACTTGGTCACTTTGTGACCTGGTGGATCAATAATAATGTCTTTAAACACTATATCAGTTATATCTGCCTTAAAAATAATATTTTCAAATACTCAATCACATACATAGCTTTGGTATTACAGTGACTCACAAAATGTATCCAATGATGTGGTGAGGTGACACAAGGAATAATGGACTGACTTATGTTTTTTAGGTTCAGTTAATTTACAAAAGTATATAAAGTATATAATTCTGAATAATGTAAACTTTAATTACTTTAAAATAAGTCTCTGAATGAGAATAAATGGGAAGCTGGAATGCACAGAAGCCATCAATATGACATGGTCACAGAAGGTACAGTGACTCACAAAATGCAGTAGAAATCACCAAGATATTTGTCAACATGCTCTATCATGCATAGTTTGATATGACATAGTGTCATTATGTAATCTCCATATATGGTAACAATATGAATATTGTAATAGAGAAGGTTCATTGGATACCTTTTGTAGCTGAGAGGTTCTTGCATGAAAATCATGTGACTATGTTGATTGTTTACACTTGCTTATGTTTTTTCAACATTTCATTTGATCATGTTGTGCTAAAGTATAAGTCAAAGGGCTCTCACAGCTAAGATTCTCCTAATTTCAACTATGCATCCCCTTTCCCTTGCTGCTCAGGATGAGATCCTTTCTCTACTTGATGCTGGTTATTCTGCCAAACATATTTCAGTTTCTACTGGCTATGGCTTTGCTACTATCTCCAAACTTCACTCTAAACATGATTCCCACCTGTTTAAGTCCCCTGGTGGTCACCCTTCCAAACTCTCTACAGCCAACATCTGTTTTGCATGATGCCTTATCAGCTCTGGGAAGGCCAACACAGCTGTAGATGCAATAAAGGCACTTTGCACTTTCACTAACCAGTCACTCCATCCTCAAACAGTGCATCATAGACTCAAGGCAGCTAAGATAAAGCCTATAATAAAGAAGAAAAAGCTTCTTCTTTCTAAAAAGCATAGAAAGGAGAGAATGGACTTTGCTTTGGCACATCAGAATTGGACTGTGGAGGACTGGAAGAAGGTGGTATGTCTGATGGGACAAAAATCAATAGGCTGGGATCAGATGGTAGGAAGTGGGTGTGGAAAAAGGCAGGGGAGGGCTTGAGTGACAGGCTGGTTGAGGAACCCTGAAGTTTGGTGGTGGATCTTTGATAGTATGGGGGTGCATGCTGTAAGGGGGGGTTGTTAGAATGAAGAAAGGAGGTGGATGTGAGGCACTGGAAGTGCAGGATCTCTGTTAAGTTTTTGTGGTGCTGTTCCTAGACTGTATAACTTTCCGTTTGTCTGAGTGAGGTGGCAGTACTCATTGTAAATGGATAAGGACTAAACAAATACAAATAGACCTTATATAATCCAAAATACGTGGTGAATTCCCAACCGCAGCGACCCGAGCCCTAATGCTCGTGATCCCTCACTAACCCAAATCCCAGAAAAGTTAACACACTCCCTCGAGCATAAGGGGCTTGCAGTGACCATTCCCACTCCCTCAAACAGATATCCATACTGTCCAAGTCTCCCCACAGCCCGAGCACTCCCTGAAGTTCAACAACTCTCAATCTGAACCAAAATGCCTCTACTGTGAATAGCAAGTCTCCCAGTCCAAGCTCCCTCACTGTAACTCCCATTCCCAATCAATCCCAAGGCCATTTATGGCAAGTGTGATGGCAGATGGCAATGTCTAAACATTGATCCAGGACAAACTTGACCTGACTCAGTATTCTGCACAGTCCTTCATGCCAGCGGCTAAAGTCGATTGTTTATGAGTGATAAGTCTCGCATGGTGTGTGAGAATGACGGTGGAATGTGAGAATGACGGTGGAATGTGAGAATGACGGTGGAATGTGAGAATGACGGTGGAATGTGAGAATGACGGTGGAATGTGAGAATGACGGTGGAATGTGAGAATGACGGTGGAATGTGAGAATGACGGTGGAATGTGAGAATGACGGTGGAATGTGAGAATGACGGTGGAATGTGAGAATGACGGTGGAATGTGAGAATGACGGTGGAATGTGAGAATGACGGTGGAATGTGAGAATGACGGTGGAATGTGAGAATGACGGTGGAATGTGAGAATGACGGTGGAATGTGAGAATGACGGTGGAATGTGAGAATGACGGTGGAATGTGAGAATGACGGTGGAATGTGAGAATGACGGTGGAATGTGAGAATGACGGTGGAATGTGAGTGGTGGTATGCAAAGAGTGAAATCCGTGCGACGAACAATGATGTGTGGAATGGCAATTTGTAGCGACGAGATCAAAGGTGGTCTTCACAGCACCTAGCTTTGGTTAATGGTAGCAAGCCGTGATCCATTTATGTTAAGTTTTCGTGGTGCTGTTCCTAGACCATATAACTTTCCGTTTGTCTGAGTGAGGTGGCAGTACTCATTGTAAATGGATAAGGACTAAACAAATACAAATAGACCTTATATAATCCAACATACATGGTGAATTCCCAACTGCAGTGACCCGAGCCCTAATGCTCGTGATCCCTCGCTAACCCAAATCTGTTAGGATACACACACAGGGCAGGTTTCTGGAGAAACCCGTGGGATATCTGGTAGGACTTGGCTTCAGCTTATAGGCTGCGCCCTCGCTAGATCGTGTTGTCCAATTTCGAACAGGCAGACGGGAATCCTGGGGAGTCCAGGCGGGGTTTGTGGGTCGTAGATCGTAGGTCGGAGGTTGTGGGTCGTGAGTCGAGATGGTTGAGAGAGATAGATGCGCCGGAGCCTGTGGGCTCCGACTAGTGCGAGTGGTGTGAATCAAGTAGGGTTTTAGAGCAGAAAATGTTATTAGATTACTGGGGGGAATCTAAGCTAATTTTCTGACTGGATTGTATGTACAACATCTGCCAGTTTATATAGACCATGGAGTGAATGGCATAGCAAATCCAGTAATAATGAAACGAAACTAACAAAACATAAAACGGGAATAGTAAACACCAAGTTTGGTGTCAGGAACAGGACGGAACGGAGTGGAGTCCAAATCGTGACAAAGCATAACCCATAATGGGAAATGGAGCGGGAGTGGAGTCCTAAATCATGACAGGTCATTTGACTAAAACAGGAACGGGGCTCAATTAGAGCAGTGATGGGATTCTGAGCGGGATCTGGTGACTGATGCATGGGATGAAGATGGACATAGACAGAGATGGAGTCCGGGGGAAGTCCAGTGACTGATATGTGTCATAATGAGGTCGAAACGTAACAAGTCTTGTCGTACAGAGTCCAAGCAGGAAATCCTATAAACAGACATTTGGTGCATGTGGGGCGTGGGGGCGTACGGGTTAGTGCCCAGAGTCCGGTGGGATTGTCTGGTCGTAACAGTCCCAGAAAAGTCAACAAACTCAGACACAGACACAGACACAAATGAGCAAATGTAAATTTCACCAGCACACACTATGGACCCACAACAGTACACAAGTTGTAGCTAATGTGCCAAGTCACTAAATGTAACTGTTAGAATTACATAATAGGGTGGAAAGTATTGACCTGAGCTGGATTTGAACCAGTGACCACTACATATGTCTGGATTACATGTCTAGTGCTCTTAACCCCTGAGCTATCAGGCCATTAAGAGTAGTTCTATTAAGAACCAGTTACTAGTGAGATGATTAGTCATCAGCAAGATATTAATATATCCAGCAACCATTGCTCATTCATCAGTAACAGGGGTTGGGTATGCATGCAAGATTGATGGATGGATGGATGGGGATCTCTACATACAGATTCTGGAGGATGACAAGCCAGCCTTAGTGACTATGGTAAATCTGCAGATGATGTTATCTTCCAGCAGGATAATGCCCCAAGCACACCTGCAAGAAGGCCCAGAATTGGTTCCAAGAAAATGGTTTCAGAGTTTTCTAATGTCCAGGACAGTCTCCTGACTTGGGTCACATTGAATACTTATGGAATCACCTGAAGAGGAGGTTGGCAGAGTATGAGAATACACTCCAGGGTATGGAAGAGTTTTGGAAGGAGGTGGTGGAGGAATGGTACAAGATTGATGCAAAAGTGTGTCAGGATTTGATTGAAATTATGCCTAGGAAAGTTGCAGATACATTAAAGTCTAAGGGTGGCTATACCAAGTACTTAATACAAGTAATTTCCCACCTACATAACCCTGTCAGCAACAAAAGGTATCCAATGAACCTTCTCTATTAAAATATTCATATTGTTACCATATATGGAGATTACATAGTGACACTATGTCATATCAAACTATACATGATAGAGCATGTTGACAAATATATTGGTGATTGTTACTATTTTATCTACTGAGGTATAAGGTATATAAGTTGAAACTGCAAACATTGGATGAACTTTGTGAGTCACTGCACCTTCTGTGACCATGTCATATTGAGGGCTTCTGTTAAGTTCCAAAGAGGATCTCCTCAAGCCCCATGGAGGTTTCTGGTAATTATTCCAAACACTTTCTGGGAATGTCCTGTGGAGTCCCTGGGTAACAGTCCAGGGAGTTTCTGGGGATTAGTACAAGGAGTATCAAAATAATTACCAGAGGTACTGAGATGGACTTGGCTTCAGCTTATGTGCTGCACCCTCATACACTCATTCAGGTGTCCATATTTCAAGCTAACAGAACACCTACAAGGAAGATGTATATTCTGTTCCTGTGGGAGTTCCAGGAATTGAGCTTGCAGACAGACAAGAGGAGTAGAGACTGGATCAGGACATATTCGGGGTGTAACTAGTTTGAGATTCAAACTAGAGAGTAAGTACATGAGTATGGAAGACTTATATAGACTTTGAAATGTAATAATACCAAGTCTGGTAATGATGAGGGGCAGAACAATTAAACATACAGTAAAACAAAACAAGTAAATACTAAACTGGGAATTTGGGACGGGGTGGAATGGAAGTGGAGAACAAACTAGACAGGTCATTAGACCATAATGGGAGCAGGGCTCTGTTACAGGGGTTCTCAGGAGTCCAGCTGGGGGTCTGGTGACTGGTCCATGAGATACAGAGTGTCCCAATTTCCTTTGTTCTGTTATTATCAAATCTCCATTTTCAGTCCTCCATGCTTCCATTGACTTTAGTATAAAACCCCACCTTGTACAATACTACCCTTCAGTTTGAATATTGACTTAGAATACCCATTTAGAATACCCTCTCATATTTAGAAGCTGATGGAATAATACCTTCATTTGTTTTGAAAGTATTGTTCATGCTGCTTAATCCTTTTGCTAGTGTCTGGCCAGACTGAGACTTACTCCCTTTGCAACCTTAGCCTCTGGACCCCAATTTATAGCTAAGTGTCATTATACAGCCTGCTACATACTTTGTTGCTTGTTTTGAAGTACTGGAGCATCTTACAGTTTTGTGCAGGGTGCAACATATTGTATGTTGAAGTCAAGCTCCACTTGTCTTCAGTAACTGGAGTTTTTCCCATTTTGTCCCACTCTGAACACTTCCCTCTAACACTTTCACTTTGGGATAACCTTTTGTCATTTCATTGTTCCATGCCACATTTCTCATCTATTCCTTCCACATCAGTCTTTTTATATAGTCACATCACATTGAGAGCTCTTGGATATTCTGGACCCTTATTTAGTTTATAGATATTCCATTGCCCTCTTCCCCATTCCACTCACCTCTTTGATATTGATTTTTTTAGTATAAATTATTGTTTTGTGAACTACTTGTCTTCAGTGTGAATATTGACTTGTAATTTCCTTTATTGCCCTTCAAACTTGTTGGGGATTATCTTTGGGCTCCTGGAGTATTCTTTTGTACCTACTAGGTGCTTACAAGTGTCAGCATATGGTTCATGCTCCTTGCAGCTCACATACCACATTCCCAAAATTCAACAGACAGGTTGTTCAAGCAGGCTGAACTATAATATCCTATAAGTTAAATGTGACCACTGACACCAATCACTTAAATCCAACAATAGCTAATCCCATTCTATTTATGGAAGAAACCCATAGTTTAAAATTGACCATGGTGTTAAACTGCCAATGGTTTAAACTTCATCAATTTAATATTATGTCCACTGTGGAGGAAATTGTTGGGAAAGGAACAACAGTAGCAAAGGAATAGCTAAGAAAAGGAATCAAATAGAATGGTCTGTTTTCAAAGGGACTATAAGGAAAGGAATAGAATAGTTGAGAACTGGAATTATTTAATTGAATTTACTGGAATTGCTCACGCTTCTCACACAATGAAGGCACACCGTCAAAGAGAGGTGTGCATTGCTCTATCCATCCTGCACCAACATGTATCCTTATAATATGGCACTCGGCGGCAAGAATCCACATTGTCACTGCGATGGGTATCGGGACTGTATGTCGACCACTATAAAAGCGCGATGGAGGTAACTGTCCCTTTCCCCTTACCAATGTTGAAGAACTTCTCAATACTTGCTAAGGTGCTATCGTTAGGTTTTGTTTCGTCAATCATCGGTATTAGACAGTTCATAGCACATAAATGCGGTAAATCGGTCTGTTCTGCTGATTTACACTCGCTTATTAAGTTCACTAAAGAGTCCCTTAAAAAACAAAATGGTATTGGATGATTAGTGGCTGCAGGAGAATTTTACAAGGCGATCCTAGATACAGGTACGTGGTCATAGATGCATTTCTCCACTATCAGTGCCTTGCGTAGCCAAGAGATGAAGGATGTAATGCTGTTATATGGTTTAGCTTTTATCGTCAGCTCCAACATCACCATTGGCATGGGTGTGGGTGTTTAATGACGAGAAGGTTGTGAAAGTTTCCGGATGCCGACACGGCGCTGGGACTCAAACAGAAACTGTGGATGGCTGTGCTCCATAGCCTGAGCCTATTAGTCTTACACGTTTACGGGACGCCTAGGTTTTGCCAGTGTTTGCATAACAGTGATATATTTATCGATCCAACCGACTTTACTATTGGCCGAGTTATTATGGAGTTGCGTGTATAATAATTTAACCATTTAGACTTGTCGTTTGCATCCCAAGGTCAAATTAAAGAACATTTCTAATAATATTGACCCTAAACAGTAACAACGGTCAATTTTGAATTGCCTTGATTGTGACAGGAAGCCTTGCACGGCCATCCGTCGCTTCTTTCACCCTGAAAATGGGGCCGCCGTGAATCTCTGAATGGGAAGGCTATCTAAAGACCTACATTGGCTTTACTATGCCTGCCGATGTCCTCATAATCCGGATATGTTCTGGAGGAGGCGAGAACTCAAAGCTTTCTAACGTTTCAACCAAAATAGCTTGCATTTCGACGACTCTATTCCATAGGGAGACGTTATAGGAGTTGGAGTTCAAGACTGAAGTCACACTCACGCGAATCTCCAGCTGTTTGTTTGTGAGCCGATTGAATTATGGTTTAGACAAAGAGACTTACCCTATACAACTTCTTACACCACTGCTGAACGAGGCACTATGGAGAGTTTGGCGTCAGATTTGTAGAGCCATAGTAATATCACCTACAGATTGGCAAAAACTCCCATATTCGCACCTTGCTTGACGCTACCATCCAGGAAACGTTCAGGCCGCCATACATGCGGATCATTACCCCAAAGTGCCTCTAGCCTTAAATACAATCAGCAGCTACTACCCCCGTTATCCATTAATAGCGAACCTGTTATATGCCACAAGCGACATGATAATCCGCTGCCCCTCACCGACCCGTACGCTTGTAATGGTCTCTCCAGTCTTCCCTGTTGCAGGTGTAGAGAGGGGGATAACGTCGTCCTCTCCTGCCACGCGATGGAGCGCTGGAATAATCGGATGGAATCGAAGGGTTTCCTAGAACCAAATGGACATTATACATCCATAATGAGCATACATGGTTAATCAGACAAACCTTCATTATTGCCAAGAGATACTTCATGGAGTCGAGGTCGGCGACTGACAATTCTTTATCTCCACGCCGTGAGGCTTGTTCACGAGTCGCCTTTATCTCATCTTTTACCAATTTTTGGTATTCGGGGTGCCTTGCTAGTTCGTAAACTGTCCATGTCAGGGTAGATGCGGTCGTTTCATGACCAGCTAGGAACAATGTGCTATAAAGATTTGTTCTTCTTTACACGAAGAGACCGAAAGGACGTCAACCACTCACGTCAATTGAGACATGACTTCCTTATCACTGAGTTTGAACTCGGGCTCTTCTGCTAAATTGGCTCTAACTGGATTAATATTAGCGTCATTGCATTCCAATCATTTCATGGGAAATCATACCCAATACACTCATAATGTCCTTCGAGCCCTCTTTACCAGAGGCATAGATAGCTGTCTGTCCGTCAACTACTTCTTTGGCCACACCTAGGGCGACCTTATTATACTTGTGGAGGATCTCCAGGCGCGCGAATGGCAAACTGAGGAAAAACGACACCATCCACTGAGGCACCCATCCCATCACGGCATCCATGACTATCATTGAATCTGGACGCTTCCCAAAAGCCTTGGAGCTGTATTGCATTTAAAAATATTGAACTAGTGCATTGAGTGGACAGATACTGACAATAAATTATCATAAGCTTGTGCCAGTTTACTTTTGGATCCTTGGTCGAGGGCACCAAATTGGTAACCAAATCCGACTGAGCAGAGTCAGGTATG